ATCCGCTCCGACGAGCCCGCGCAGCGAGCGCCGCGCAGCGGCTGAGATCGCCAGCGGGCGCGTGGGGCGCAGCGTGCTCGGCGCCGTCGGCCGCGGCAGCGCGAGCAAAAAATCACTTGCGCGCCGGGGCCGGGCGGGCCAGCGAGCAGTCGTTGCTTGCGGGAGGTGCGGTCGTGCGTCGTAGTTTTTGCATTCCTGGCCTTCTCTCTTGGCTCCCAGGGGAGATGTGGAGGGGGGCAGACGATGTCGTTCCCCTGTGCAAGCGAGTGCCATGTAATGCGTCGTGCTCCTCTAATATTTGGCTCCTCTCCAGCCAATACCCCCCAATACCGCCGCTGATTGCATGTCAAGGTATGGTTCTGATGAGCTATACCAGCGGATGTTGATTCAGATTGCTCTCGCTTCGCGGGGTGCACTTCCGGAATGTTAAGAGTATGTGCGTCTTGGCCTTTCTGGGAGCATTTTAGAGACCTTTTGGGGCCTCTTGGGGACATTTTGGGGCTGCCTTGGGGCTTGGTGGGGGCCTCTAGGGGCGTCTTTGGGGCGCCTTGGGCCGTCATGCGGCGCTTTTGGGCTGTCTGGCGCCTTCGGAGGGTAAAAAGGCGAAATTAGAAATTGATAGAGCAAACCCGGAAGTTCCCCTGAGAAAGTATGGAAACTCTTGACGCTTCGCGTCTCCCCACCAGCCCATCAAAAACCGACGCCCAGGCGAGTTGAGACGAGCATGGAAGCCGAGGAGCAAAATGGGGGACAGTCGTTATTGTTCGAGGGAGGAGGATGAGGAGGAGACGGAGGAGGAGGAGGAGGAGGAGGAGGAGGAGGAGAAGCAGGAGGAGGAGGAGAAGCAGGAGGAGTGAAGAGGATGATGATGATGATGAGGCGGAGGAGGAGAAGGAGGAGGAGGAGGAGGAGGAGGAGAGGAGGAGGAAGGAGGGAGAGGAGAGGAGGAGGGATGATGGGGGAGGGACAAGGATGATGAATTTGCGGATGAGGAGGAGCAGGAGGAGCAGGAAGCAGGAGGAGGGAGGGGGAGGAAGAGGAGGAGGAGGAGGAGGAGGAGGAGGAGCAGGAGGAGCAGGGGAGGAAGAGGAGGAGGAGGAGGAGGAGCAGCAGCAGCAGCGGCAGCAGAGAGCAGGAGCAGGGCAGGAGATGGGTGAGGGAGAGGAACAGGAGGGAGGAGGATAAGGAGGAGGAGGAGGAGGAGAAGGAAGCGGATGAGGAGTAGCGGATGAGGAGGAGGAGAAGGAGGAGAGGAGAAGGAGGGGGAGGAGGAGAAGGAGCAGGAGGAGGAGGAGGAGGAGGAGGAGGAAAAGTGTGAGCCAGAAGCCTCTTGAATGCCTCTCGGAGTCTGCTCGGATGTCGCTTGGAAGCTGTTTGGAGGCCTCTTGGGGCGTCTGGGGCCTCGGGGATCCTCTTGAGGCGTCTTGGGGGTCTGTTAGGAGCCTCTTGGAGGCCCCTCGGGCGCCTCTTGGGCTCTTGGGGCCGTCTGGGCGCCTCTTGGGGTTCTCTCGGGGCGTTCTTGGGAGCTTTAGAGGGCGCTCTTGGAGCCATCTTGGAAGACATCGATCAAAAACGAAGGAAGCTTTAAGTAGCCTTGCCCTTCTAGAGTGCCTGAAATCGGCTCTTGGGGCGCTCTTGGAGCGCTCTTGGGTGCTCTTAGGGCCTCTCTCGGGCCTCTCTCGGGGCCCTCTTAGGCCATCTTGTAGCCATCTTGAGGCCTCGAAGAGCCATCGGAAGCGAAAAGGCGAGAAAGCAAACAACATTGATTTCCCTTAGGTTTGGGACGGATTTTGGCCTCTTCGGGGTCTCCTTGGGGAGCTGTTTGGCCACTTGGAGCTGTCTAGGGGCGGTCTTGGGGCCTCTTGGAGCATCTTGGAAGCCATTTTAGCGATCTTGCGCTATCTTTGGCCATCTTGGAGGCCATCTTGGGCTTTCTGAGGCGCTCTTGGAACCGTCTTGGGCCATCTTGGACGCTCCAACCCCTCGCGATCACCCCCGTCCAGGTCCAGGGGAGGGGGTAAGGGGGAGGAGTAAACCCTTCCCCGAAGGGAAAGAAGGGGGATGGAAGAGAAGCCTCTCTAGACCACCTACGCCCAGAGGGCTGGTGGGTTCGGAGGACCGGCCCGGAAACCACGTGGGGCAAACCCAGAATTTGTCAAGACAGATTTGGAAACGCACCAAACCGGGATATTTGAAAACCGAACCCAGGAAAAGGCTTGATCCCAACGTGGTACCTGGGCGGTTTTCGGGTTGGGGTCTTCGCGGGGACTTCGATGATTACAGAATTGGAGTTGGAAAAACATGGGAAACCTCGCACTGGAATTACCGCAAGGGGACAGCAAAGCCTAGTCTCGCAGCCTGTAGGCTCTGGCCGGCGGATCCGAGGTGCATTCCATAAACAGTGCTTGCACTTAGGGGTTCTTACTCGCGTCTGAGGGATGTACTTCGCTTCTGAGGTAACTGGGCCCCAGTGCCGCTCCAGCCAGCTTGTGGCCGCCCGTTGCCGCCCGTCGCCGCTGGGCCCGGGTGTCGCTCTGGCTGGCTTGTGACCGTCCGCCGCCGCCTGTCGCCGCCGTCCGTCGCCGCCACCTTCGCTGCGTTGGTTTGTATTTCTTAGAATTGCTTAGACTTGCTTTGCATTGCTTTGCGTTGCTGTGCCTTGCGTTGTTAAGCACTGCTTTGTATTGCTTAGCATTGCTTTGCATTGCTGTGCATTTGTTGGCGTTGCCTTGCGTTGCATTCCGTCGCCTTGCGTTGCATTGCTTTGCATTGCTTTGCATTGATTTACATTGCGTTGCATTGCGTTGCATTGCGGTGCCTTGCGTTGCATTGCTTTGCATTTCTAAGCATTGCTTTGCATTGCTTCGCATTGCTCTGCATTGCATTGCTTTTCATTGTTTTGAAGTGCTTTGCATGTCATTGCATTTCTTTGCATGTGTTGCATGCTTTTCATTGCTTTGCATGCCATTGCATTTCTCTGCATTGCGTTACATTGCGTTGCATTACTTTGCATTGATTTGGATCGCATATGTTGCGCCACATGTATGTCACCAGCATCGTAGTGATTGCACCACCTAAATGGCGTCGCGTAGGTTGCAAGGAATCACTGTTCAGGGTCCACGCTGGATAACATACCTATGCCTATGTCGGAGAGTTGGCCAGAAGAAGGCAGGGCAGCAGGCGAAGCTTTCGTATGACCGGTGTCGCCACGAAGCGGGAGGGCCATAACCCCCGTGGGGGGTGTCGTTTCCTTTTGTGAACGAGTTCCGTGTGATGCGCCCATTCTCCTCAAATTTTGTCTATGTGTGGCTTTGATGTACTAGACCACTGGATTCTGAGATACATAAGCCGCGGGCAGCTTCCTGGTTCAGATAGAACCAATACGTCATAATCTCTTACACCGTTGCCATAGTTGGTTTGTCTGCTTCGACTCGACCTCTGACAAGCCAAGCGACTCGGGAGGAGGGGGAGGAGAAGGAAGAGGAGGAGCAGGAGGAGGACGAGGAGGAGCGGGAAGGATCAGGCCCGGGGAGCGGGAAGCGAGAAGGAGGAGCAGGAGGGGCTTGGATGAAGAGTACGGAGGAGGGAGAGGGAGATCCAGAGGGGAAGCATGAGCAGGAGGAGGAGGAGGAGGAGGAGGAGGACGAGATGGAGCAGGAGGAGGAGGGGGAGGAGGAGGAGGAGGAGGAGGAGGAGGAGCACGAGGGGGAGGAGGTGGTGGAAAATGATGGACGACAAGGAAGGAGGAGCAAAACGAGGAGGACGTGGAAGGGGAGGAGGAGATCACATATTTCTCACCTTATCTTGATAGTGATGACCCCCTACGCCCCTAAGCCCCTCAGAATTAGTACCATGCTCTTTTTATCCCTCCTCAGAGCGTTCACCGTCACGTACAGAAGTGCCCTTCGCATGAGTTTGTGCAACGTGTAGCAGCAGGGTGCCGCTGTAGAAGTGCGCGCGCACGCTACGGGGTCTCATTGTTGCACTTGTAGCGAGAGGGCGAGCCATAATCTTGAAATCCGTCCCGCGCACGCCGTGCTCGTATACATGGCAAGTGCAAGGGTGCCACTTCGCTGAACCTCCCTTCGCGCGGGGCGCACAGGCACGACGCGCGCGGGGCGCAGTCGGTGCACGGGAGTGGCAGGGGGGGATGTCGGGCGGGGCTAGGACGAGGACAAATCCGTTCCAGAGCATTGTGGATAGCTCTCAGAGCGTCCGGGAACGCTCCGAGAAGGCCGCGGCGCCCGATACATCCTCCAGAGCGGCCAGATCTCAAAGATTCTCGATCTATCCTCGCTTAAATGCACCTTCGTCCTGGCTTCGTTCTAGGACGGGAGCTGGAGTGGGGTGGGGATGGCGAGCGAGAGGGGGCGCGCGAGGCCCGGCCAGCTCGAGTGGCAAGGTGCCCAACCTCCAGCGCACGCGCGCCTCGGCCTCTGCACCGAGGGATGCCGGTGCCTGGGCGCGCCTCTGGGACGCAGGGCCTGGCCAGCTCCGCGGGCCCGCAGGCGCCTCCGCGGGCCCTCCGTGCCCCAGCTCGAGGAGCAACCCTCGACACGGGCACAAACTTTCCGAGGTCCGCGCGGCTCTCTTCGATCGGCGCCGGGCCCCCCTGCCTGGCGCACGCAGGCCTCGCGCGCCGGGGGCGGCGCCGGAGGCACCGCTGAGGGGGCCCCAGCGCCGATCCAAGCAGTCCGCGGGGATCGGGCGAAGGGAGCTGTGCACATGCACCGATCCTGGCAAGGCCCATCCTTGGCCCAGGATCGGTGCAGGTACCTTCCCAGCCAAGGCAGGAGGGCGTGTGCACCGATCCTGGGCCCAGGATGGGCCTGGCCGGACTCGGTGCAGGTGCACAGTCCTCTCTCCTCCGGGGGGGCCTCCGAAAGCTCACGCCCGTGCCGTGCCTTGGCTCCTCCGCCAGCGGCCGCAGGCCGGCGGGCGGCGGCGCCCAGGCTGCCGCGGCCCGCGGCTCCGGCGCTGCCTGCCCGCTCCGGCGGCCCCGCGGGCCGCCTCATGGCGGCCGCGGGCCCGTGCCTGCTCGCGGGCGCCGCCCGGCGCCGCGCGCGCCGGCATGGCCGGCGCTGCGCCGCGGCCGAGGACCGGGAGCCGGGTCATGCAGGGTGCTGCAGGATTCGGGGGCGGACAAGAGGGGGGTGATGACTAGAACGACGCGAAGATCGGGACAAAATCGGATCGGGATGACTCGAAATCTCTGAGACGCGGCGGGTTTGGAGGATGTATTGGGCGCCGCGGCCGCTCCAGAGCGTTCCGGAACGCTCTGAGAGCGCTCCGGAACGCTCTGGAGCGATTTATCCCGATCCTAGCTCTGTTTTAATGACTAGGGGGGGGATATCATGGCGGGGGCCATGATATCTCCCCAGATCTCAGGACGCCTCTTCTTGATTCGTCACGTCCCCGGCCCCCCTGCGGGGCCGCGCACATGCCGCCGGTCATGATCTGCACACACCCCTCTTGGACACCCCCCTCTTGGCCGCTCCCGAAAGATCTTGCAGGATGCTGCAGGGCCAGGGTCGCATTGGCCCGGGTTCGGGTGCAGGAGCTTGCAGGATCCTGCAGGGTCGTGCAGGATCTTGCAAGGCCTGACTGACCCCGGGTCTGGGTTGACCCGGGTCAGAAGATCCCCGAGAGGACATGCGGGTGCTGCTGAAGGTGCCCCTGGCCTTAAGTTGGGTCTGTCCCTCTACAGGGGGGATATTCAAAAATAGTAAAAAAATTGTCTGGGGACGACTTTTTTTGACTATTTTTGGGGGCATCTTTGGAGTATTTTTGGGGGGGGAGTATTTTTGATTTTTCGCCCAAACTTCCCCTGAGGGGGACAGGCCCGACCTAACCCTGGCCCAAGGTGCGCGACGCAAACAACAAAAAAATGATACCGGAGAAAAACCTCAATCAACGTCTTTTTAGGGCTATAGGGCCTGTGGGTCTGCTGGGCTATAGGGCGACGGGGCTCATGACGGGGCTATAGGGCCATGGAACTATAGGGCGATGGGGCCAAAGGGCGATGGGGCTATGGGGATATGGGGCGACGCCAAAAAACGGGGTCGTCTTCGCCGACATTGGCTCGGACGCTGCCCGCGTAAGGTCGCACGTAAGCGCACGCGTCTCCACTGGCGTGCCGCGCTGGTGGCCCGCGCAAGCCACCGCGCAAGGTCGCTGCGCCATCTCACGCAAGACCCCTTTCTGATCGTCGCCTCGGCTGCCCCCCAGCTCCGATCGCGCCCTCCTGGAGCCCCCTGAGGCCTTCCGGGGCTCGTGGGGCGTGCTCCAGCGGCCCGTGGGGGGCTCCTTGGCAAAATCCCGGGGGCACCCTGGGCCAGGGGCACCTCCAGCAACACCCGAGACGTGGGAGCGCCAGTGGCGGGGCCGGGGGCAGCGCCAGAGGTGCCCTCCTCGGGCGCGAGGCGCGGAGCGGTCGTCGCCGGCCTCGCCGCGGCCCTCGCGGGCACCGGTGGTGCAGAGCCCGCGCGCGCGGAGGAGCTCGTTGAGGTCTACTTTGGTTGCGGCTGCTTCTGGCATGTGCAGCACGAGTTTGCGATGGCGGAGAAGGTCATCCTCGGAAGGGGCGACTCCGAACTCACCTCCTTCGTGGGCTACGCTGGGGGCAAGGCCGGCGCCAAGGACGGAAAGGTTTGCTACCACAATGCGGCTATGCAGTCTGACTACGGCAGCCTAGGGCATGCGGAGGTGGTGCGGCTAATGGTACCACCGTCGAAGTTCCGTCTGATCGCCGAGGAGTATTGCAAGCTCTTCTCCAATGCTGGCGAGCGCCCAGACCAGTACGGAGACCGAGGGAGTGAGTACCGCAACGTGGTGGGGCTCCCAGGTGGCGTTCAGTCCCCACTCGCGCAGGAGCTCGTGGAGGCTTCGAAGAGGCAGGGGGATAAGCTGAACTTCGCAAAGGGGAAGGGCGACGATAGCGACACGAAGGGGATGGTATTCATAATGGACACGGGCAAGTTCCCTTTCTTTTTGGGCGAACCATATCACCAATTCCATGATGGATTCGCACAGGGAGAGGATTACCCCGACACTTATAACCAGCTGGGTGCCCAGTATGTCCAGGCTGGCCGCATCAGCAAGTCAGGCTGCCCAAACGGACTCATTGGTCTTGGCTTCGGCGGGCTGTGAGTACCCTGCGCTGCTAGCTTTGTTCATCTGGGCGGATGTTATGGAGTCGGCATGCTTGGCATGAGGGTCTCGGGTGCAAGGTGATCGAAGACGCCTACGGCGAATCACCGCCGCCCCTGCCTTTTTGGAAGCGCCTATGTGGCCGAACGTTGAGGCCAGACCTGCCAAGCTATCGGACCACGTGTTCCCCGAATCGGTTTGGAAAGCCTTCGGGGAACACGTGGGCATCTTGAAGGTCATCTTGGCCGTCTTGGAGGCCTCTTGGGCAAGCTTTGGGCGATCTTTGGGGCTTTTTGGGCCGTCTCGGGCCAGCTTCGAGCCAACTTCGGCCATCTTGGTGGGTTCCTGGCACGTCTGAAGCCGTCGGAAGCCGTTTGGGGGGCCTCTATGGGCCGACTTGGGGGCTTGGCCCGCTTGGAATGTCCAGGGCCGTCCTTGGAGGGCAGGAGAGGCCATCTTGGGCGTGTTGGAGGCCTCTTGGGCCCTCTTGGGGCCCTCTAGGGGCCATCTTGGAGGCCACTTGGGCCATCAGGGGGCTCTCTTGGGGGCCTCTTGGGCGATCTTGGGGGCTTCTTGGGCCGTCTTGAGCCGTCGGAGAGCCGAAAAGGCGCAAATGCCAAAATCCTTCAAAAACCAAGGGAAAATCAATGATTTTGGCCTCTTCGGACTCTCCTGGAGGACCTCTTGGAGGCCTCTTGGGCCGTCTGGGAGGCCTCTGGGGGGCCTCTTGGGCCGTCTTGGGCCGTCTTGGACTCTCTTGGGCCGTTTTGGAGGCCGTCTTGGACCATCTCGGGCGGACTTGGAGGCCATCTTGGGCCATCTTCGCGATTTTTTGAGGATGTCCCGAGCGAAACGGCCGTTTTTGGGCATTGACAGACGGATTTTGGGAAACGCGCGGGTGGCCAGCGGGACGGGCCGAAGCCCACTGGGGAGTTCTTTTAGAAAAAGAACCAAAACCAAAACCTGAATCGTCCAGCACGCCGTGCACCCCTGCAAGCAGGGGGCGGCGGATCGAAGACGCCTACGGCGAATCACCGCCGCCCCCTGCCTTTTTGGAAGCGCCTATGTGGCCGAACGTTGAGGCCAGACCTGCCAAGCTATCGGACCACGTGTTCCCCGAATCGGTTTGGAAAGCCTTCGGGGAACACGTGGGCATCTTGAAGGTCATCTTGGCCGTCTTGGAGGCCTCTTGGGCAAGCTTTGGGCGATCTTTGGGGCTTTTTGGGCCGTCTCGGGCCAGCTTCGAGCCAACTTCGGCCATCTTGGTGGGTTCCTGGCACGTCTGAAGCCGTCGGAAGCCGTTTGGGGGGCCTCTATGGGCCGACTTGGGGCCCGCTTGGAATGCTCCAGGGCCGTCTTGGAGGCCATCTTGGGCGTCTGGGAGGCCATCTTGGGCGTGTTGGAGGCCTCTTGGGCCCTCTTGGGGCCCTCTAGGGGCCATCTTGGAGGCCACTTGGGCCATCATGGGGCTCTCTTGGGGGCCTCTTGGGCGATCTTGGGGGCTTCTTGGGCCGTCTTGAGCCGTCGGAGAGCCGAAAAGGCGCAAATGCCAAAATCCTTCAAAAACCAAGGGAAAATCAATGATTTTGGCCTCTTCGGACTCTCCTGGAGGACCTCTTGGAGGCCTCTTGGGCCGTCTGGGAGGAGGCCTCTTGGGCCGTCTTGGGCCGTCTTGGACTCTCTTGGGCCGTTTTGGAGGCCGTCTTGGACCATCTCGGGCGGACTTGGAGGCCATCTTGGGCCATCTTCGCTATTTTTTGAGGATGTCCCGAGCGAAACGGCCGTTTTTGGGCATTGACAGACGGATTTTGGGAAATGCGCGGGTGGCCGGCGGGACGGGCCGAAGCCCACTGGGGAGTTCTTTTAGAAAAAGAACCAAAACCAAAACTGAATCATCCAGCACGCCGTGCACCCCTGCAAGCAGGGGGCGGCGGATCTAACGGCCTTCGGCCCATCCCGCCACCGTTCCTGGGTTGTGGGTATGAAGCTTATCGGATGTTCGTTGGGATCTAGTGGGGGCCTCTCGGGGTCCTCTTGGAGGCAGGACGGACGCCATTTGGGGGCTTTGGGGGGGCCTCTTGGGGCCTCTGTTGGATCTCTTGGTGGCCTCTTGGAGCCTCTTGGAGGCCTCTTGGGGGCCTCGCTGGGCCTCTTGGTGCGGAAGGCTCGGACGTTCGGTTCGTGCTCCTTCTTTTGGGCCCCTCTTGGGGCCGTCTTGGGGCCCTCTTCGGCTATTTTGGGCGCCTCTCTGATCTGGAATCCATATGCCTGTCTGCATGACGTGCACTCTTAACCCGGTATAGCAATCTGAAGGGTGACTCCCCATCGTGGCGAGGTGATGCTTCGGATCTCTGGGCGCCTCTTGGGCCGTCTTGGGGCCCTCTTGAGCCGTTTTGGGGTCCGCTTGGGGGACTCTTGGGCCGTCTTGGGGCGGTCTTGGGGGTCTCTAGGGCCGTCTGGGAGCGTCGGGAAGCCGAAAAGGCGTAAACGTCCAAATCCGTCAGAACCTAGGGAAAGTCGATGATGTTTGCCTCTGCGGGCCCTGGTGGAAGGCCTCTTGGGGGCCTCCTGGGGCGTCTTGGAGGCCCCGTGGGCCGTGTTGAGGCCATCTTGGGCGTCGTGGGCCGATCTTCCGGCGCCTCGGAGCCCGCTCGGGCCGCCTTCGGGGCCTCTTGGGGCCACCTTGGCCCGTTTTGGGGCCCATTGGGACCCGAAACATCCACGCGCCGTCACTGCCTGGAGCCCCCGGGGGCACGCGCCAAGCAAGCCCCGCCAGAGTGCCGAGTTGTTGGGGTCCGGGCCCTTTGGAGGCTCCGCGGGAGTGAGGGTTGGGGCTTAGGGGATTGGGCAGAGGACTGGGCAGGGCTTAGAGGATTGGGCAGAGGATTGGGGCTTAGAGGATTGGGGCTTAGGGGATTGGGGCTCAGGGGATTGGGCAGAGGATTGGGCAGAGGATTGGGCTTAGGGGATTGGGCAGGGGGCCTGCGGACACGCCCACGCCGTGCCCAGAGGCAGGGTGGCGGGTCCGTGTAGGCTGCACTGTGCAAACGTGATGCTCTTCGTTCCGATTTTCGGGCTGATGCAGAGTCCTCTCATTGAATCGCAATCCTTCTACATCTTCTCGAGAGCACCCTGCACCATACTCATACATCTCATGCTGGTGGTAATGGTCGCTGTCGCGAGCCCGTGTCTTGTTACCGTTTGGCCGCTTCGCTTCCAAGCACGTGCAAATGACAGACAACGCCAGCGGCACATCATCGGCCGCTACTGAGAAACTGCGCCCAGAAGCGGAAAGCGGCGATGAAATGTTACAGCTGCAAGATGTGTTGTAAGTGCATGTAGTTGTTGCCCTTTAACGGAGTCTTGGTGGCCTCTCCGAGCCTGTTTGGGGTCTGTGGGTTGCCCAATCCCGCCATCGTGTCAGCCCAGCGCTCTGGGTGGCGACTTCTCGATGGGACACGGGAGGCCGTCACGTGTGACAACACGTATTATTTCCAGGCTTAGTGGAACCGTGATCAGGATGAGGGAAATGGGCATGATGATGATGATGGTGATGGTGATGATGATGATGATGATGATGATGATGATGATGTTGATGCTGATGCTGATGCTGATGCTGATGCTGATGCTGATGCTGATGCTGATGCTGCTGATGATGCTGATGCTGATGCTGATGCTGATGCTGATGCTGCTGCTGCTGCTGATGATGATGATGATAATGATGTTGAGGCTGCTGGTGATGATGATTCAGGTGATGTTGATGGTGCTGATTCTGATGTTGCCGCTGATGATGCTGATGCTGATGCTGCTGATGATGCTGATGATGATGCTGCCGATGATGATGATGATGATGATGATGATGATGATGATGATGATGATGATGATGATGATGATGATGCTGATGCTGATGCTGATGATGATGTTGATGATGATTATGTTGTTGGTGATGATGCTGATGATGATGATGCTGATGATGATGATGATGATGATGATGATGGTGGGGGTGCGAGCACGGAAATGATTAGCGAGGAGTGGGTTGTCGTAGTTCAGCATGCCTTCAGGTTTGTCTGCGACCGTAGCCCTTTTTTGGTTCGAGGGTGACATGCTGACGCATGCCCCGCCGAACTTCCCATTATGGATGATTCTCTGGTTAGAGCTCACTTGGATCTGCCAAGAGCACCCGTTTTCTCGGGGAGTGTACTGAGTCTTCGCAGGATCTTTCGTCGCCGTTTTTTTCCAGGGTGCCTCGGCGCTCTTTGGGGCGCGTGATGCGGACCGCGGCTTGCTCGCGGGCCTTCTTGGTGCGCGTGGCCTCATGGGGTGCGCCACCCAAGGCCCCAGTGTCAGCGTTCACATGTGTCCCCTGGCAAATTTGGGCGCGCGCACACACGCACACATAGATTACACGGTTCGTGACCTCATAGGGAGCTCCACCGAAAGCCTCAATAGCAGGGCTCACATGCGTCCAAAGTCCAGTTTAGGCACACCCCTCACACGGTACGTTGCTTAATAGGGAGATTCAAGGAGTTTTACCGAAGGCCTTTGTGGCAGGGTTCGCATGCGTCCCGGTAAGTGTTTTGGCGCGTCGTCGTCGCTGTTTTGTTCGTAGAGGTTCACTGAATATTTGCGTTTTGCTCGCCTTATGTGGGGCGAGTCACTTCGCCGTTTCTCGGTGTCACTCGGTAAGTGTGCAGGAATTAATTTATCTTTGCTGGTCTCTCTGAGCGGATGTGTTAGACAGGGGAGTGATGTAAAGAGGCAGGGGGGGTCCCTTGTTAGATTACAAAAACCCTTCCAGAGACCTGAGCAGTTTCCACGCCTCAATGTGGCAGGGGTCACGGTTGCGGAGATTTGTCTGTTTGGTGTCCGAGCGTCCTTTGTTTTCCGACCAGATCTAGATGATATTTCGGACCAGGCGCTTGGTTCACCACCCTAAGGGGGAGCCGTCAGGGACGGAGACACTCCAGTTCGCGGCGAAATTGCGTGGATGTCTCAGGCGGTTTGCTTGTTTGGTCGACTATGCACCTCCGCGTCCTGAGCAGATGGTGAGGATGTCTCGAGCGAGGCGCTGGCTTCAGCACCCCAACGGGGAGCCGCCAGGGGTGGCGACACTCCCCCGTTCGCGGCGAGATTGTGGGGATGTTTCCGGCGGCTTGCCTGCTTGGTATCCCAGATTCCCTTGCCTTCAGAGCATATCCTGAGGATGTCTCGAGCGAGGCGCTGGCTTCAGCGCCCTACGGGGGAGCCGCCAAGGGTAAGGACACCCCCAGTTCGCGGCGAGATTGTGGGGATGTCTCAGTTAATTTGCTTGTTTGGTGGCCCAGACGCCTTTGCATTCAGAGCAGGTCGTGAGGATGTCCCGAGCGAGGCGCTGGCTTCAGCACCCGACGTGGGAGCCGCCAGGGGGTATGACATTCGCCCTTTCGCGGCCAGATTGTGGGGATGTCTCGCGCGAGGCGCTCGGTTTTGCACCTCCGATTCCGGTTCATAGAGGACCCTCTGATCACCTCCATGAAGGGAGAAGGACGGCGGCTAGGGAGGATGATGGAGGACGGAGGGGAAAGGAAGAGGACGCAACAGGAAGGAGAAGGGAGGTGATGAGGGAGGAAGGGAAGGGAGGAGACACGAGGAGGAAGAGGAATGAGAGGGGAAGAGGGCTGGTCACCGCCTGTTCATTTGTGAATTGAAGATTCGTTTCTAGGGAATCTTTATTGCCGATCTCCGGAAACGGTTCTCGGCGCTCTTGTCCGACGTTGGCCGCATTTTCTCTGAAAGCGACGGTCCCGCTCGAGCACTGGTTTGCGTCCAAATCCGACCCATGAAGGACGACAACGGCTCCCGCTCGATACTTCCTCATTTTCTAGTCTGAGACGCCCTGGCCAGAGAGGCCCCAAAATCAGGAACGGCGCTCTCGCCCGAGATTTCCTCGATATTCAATCAAGTTGGTAGCGCCCCGAAGAGACCTCGAGAGGCCCTAAGAGGCCCCCAATATGCCCACCAGACGCCCCCGAGAGGCTCCCAAGAGGCCCCCAACAGGCCCCACTAGGTCGCCAAGACGCCCCACTACGCCCTACGAGGCCGCCCAGTGGAATCTGGATGCCTCGAAGAAGTTGCCAAAATGTCCCCAGACGCCCCGAAGAAGCTGCCCAGAGTTTCAAGAGGATCCCCAAGAGGATCACGCAACATAACCTGGCTGTCGGTAGCGCGGTTTTTGTGAGCCGAGTGTGCTTCCCCATTGCGGCTGAAGATTCTGATGATGATGATGATGATGATGATGATGATGATGATGATGATGCTGATGCTGATGCTGATGCTGATGCTGATGCTGGTGATGGTGATGGTGATGGTGATGGTGATGGTGATGGTGATGGTGATGGTGATGGTGATGGTGATGGTGATGGTGATGATGCTGCTGCTGATGATGATGATGATGATGACGACGAAGACGACGATGATGATGATGATGATGAGGAAGAGGATGATGGTGGTGAGGATGATATTAAGATTGATTATCTTGATGATGATGATGATGATGATGATGATGATGATGAACATGAACATGATGATGCTGATGATGCTGATGATGATGCTGCTGATGATGATGAGGAGGATGCTGATGACGATGCTGATCATACGGATGATGGTGATGATGATGATACTGATCACGATAATGATGATGACGACGATGATGATGATGATGCTGATGCTGATGCTGATGGTGGTGATGGTGATGGTGATACTGATGCTGATGCTGATGCTGATGGTGCTTATGATGGTGCTCGTGATGATGGTGATGATGATGGTGATGATGGTAATGATGATGATGACGATGATGATAATGGTGATGATCATTGATGATGATGATGATGATGATGATGAGGGTGATGAGGTTGATGAGGGTGATGGGGATGGTGATGATGACCATGCTGATGATGGTGGTGATGATGATCATGATCATGATGGTGATGATTGGTGATGGTGACAATGATGATGGCGATGCATATGATGATGCTGATGCTGATACTGATCACAGGTTATGGTTATGATGATGCTGGCGATGATGATGAGGGAGACGAGGGTGACGGGGATGCTGATGATGACGATGCTGATGATGATGATGATGACGATCATCATCATCAGCAGTAGCGTCATCATCATGGTGATGATTGGTAGTACTGATGATGAAGATGATGGTGATGGTGATTGGTGATGGTGATGATGATGATGATGATGATGATGATGATGATGATGATGATGATGATGATGATGATGATGATGATGATGATGATGGAAAGGATGGTGATGATGATGATGGTGATGATGATGGCGTTCGACGATGATGGTGTTTGACGAGGATCTATACATATATATACACACGTGTGTGTACGTGAATGTGTGCATGAAAACACGTGCGGGCCAGGCGCGGTGGAGTTCCATGCTCTGGGTTTTCTTTCGTCGGGCCACTCTCCTCCTGTGTCCTACTCTACTCTGTTCTACTCTGCTCTAGTTTATGCTGCTCTGTTCTACTCATCTGCTCTACTCTTCTCTTGCTCGATTGTCATTCCCCACTCGTAAATTTCCTACTCTGCCCCACAGCCGGCCGACTGCCGCCAGATCCTGGACCTCCATCCTGCGTGTAAAGAAGCAGTACACGGTCGAATATGTTTGTTCCAACATGGGCATTGCGTCGTCTACACTGCAAAATGCGCGGCAGAAATGGGACGGGGAGCACATCCCGCGCGTCGGCCGAAATGTCGCTCTCGCCTCGGCGCCGCGCTCGGTTTTCTAGAGAGCTGAGCTCCCGCGTGGGCGCGGCGCAAATGCTCGCACGCGCCGTCGTCGACGCGCGAGCGGACGAACAAAACGTTGCCCTCGCCTCCTCGTTGCGCAGACTTCGCCCGAAACTGGCGCTCCCGCCTCGACGCGGCACACAATTGCTTGGCACCGCTCGGACGTGCGCATTTTTTTCCATTCGGCGAGGACCATCGAGGAGCATCCTGGATCATTTGGCGAAAAAACCCCACACGAAACCGAACAAAAGCACAGGGAATGGACGTCCGAGCGATGGCGAGATTGTCATTCGCCTATTTTTTGGGGGGGCCGCGCGCGTGGGCGACTTGGCGCCCTCGCCCGAGCTCCCGGCGCATTCTGCTCGGAGGTGGCGTTCCCGCGCGGGCGCGGCGCACGGCTCGTGCCGCATCGCATTGGAAACGACCGCGGCGGCGGGGCCGCGCGGGAGCGGGTGAGGCGCCGACTTCGCCCAGGCGCTGCGCAGTTTGCGAGCGGAAGTCGCTGTGCTGCGTCAGAGCGGAGCATGCTTGGGTTTCTCAGGAGGGACAAAAAACACACAGACACAATTAATCTTCGATTCCGCAGAGAAAATGGGAAAACATGGGAAGTGGGGGGGGAAGACAAAAGCCCAGAACATATGGGGAAATACGGGGATGTGTTCTTAGTTGTGTGTATCTATTGCGAAGGCCTGACGGCCGGTGCCGCCGACCCTGTTCGCAATGCGCAGCAAGAGGCACGGGCTGTGGGATGGTTTGGGGGAACGGGGAGAAGGACGAGAAGGTGGGGGAGGGAGGTGTCGTATCTGACCCGGGACTTCCCCGGGACTCCCCCGGGACCCCCCCCGGGACCTCCTCTCCCCCCCCCGTCGGGGAAGGGAAAGGGAAGGGGCTTCCCTTCGACTCAATGACGACGTTGCTCAAGGTCGGTACGGGGGGGGGGCGTCGTATCTGACTCGGGGGGGGGTCGCTACCCCCCCCCGCTACGGAGGAATGAAAGGGAAGGGGCTTCCCTTCGACTCAATTACGATGCTACGAGGTTGCTCAAGGTCGGCTTGGCTGGAGCCCAGGGGAAGAGGAGTCCCAGGGGGGGGCGTCGTATCTGACCCGGGGGGGGGGTCGCTACCCCCCCCCCCTCCCGGCGGGGGAGGGATCAAAGGGAAGGGGCTTCCCTTCGACTCAATTACGAGGTTGCTCAAGGTCGGCTTGGCTGGAGCCCAGGGGAAGAGGAGTCCCAGGGGGGGGGTCGCTTCCCTTCGAGGGGCTTCCCTTCGACTCAATTACGAGGTTGCTCAAGGTCGGCTTGGCTGGAGCCCAGGGGAAGAGGAGTCCCAGGGGGGGGCGTCGTATCTGACCCGGGGGGGGGGTCGCTACCCCCCCCCCCTCCCGGCGGGGGAGGGATCAAAGGGAAGGGGCTTCCCTTCGACTCAATTACGAGGTTGCTCAAGGTCGGCTTGGCTGGAGCCCAGGGGAAGAGGAGTCCCAGGGGGGGGCGTCGTATCTGACCCGGGGGGGGGGTCGCTACCCCCCCCCCCCTCCCGGCGGGGGAGGGATCAAAGGGAAGGGGCTTCCCTTCGACTCAATTACGAGGTTGCTCAAGGTCGGCTTGGCTGGAGCCCAGGGGAAGAGGAGTCCCAGGGGGGGGCGTCGTATCTGACCCGGGGGGGGGGTCGCTACCCCCCCCCCCCTCCCGGCGGGGGAGGGATCAAAGGGAAGGGGCTTCCCTTCGACTCAATTACGAGGTTGCTCAAGGTCGGCTTGGCTGGAGCCCAGGGGAAGAGGTCTCCCAGGGAAAGGGAAGGACAGAGACGACGAGTACAAAGAATGACGGAGATGACGGCTCGAACGGAAAAGCCCCTCACACACGCCGACAGGGTCGGCGGATTTGTGTGTCCCAGGGCCCCTTCATTTTCGCCCACCAGGATGTGTACCGCTCCCGCAGTTTTCCCTGCACCCAGTCGTCGGAATCGGGGCCGCGCGCGAGGGCCTTCCGTTTGCGAGGCGCCAATGGGTTCCAATCCCAAGATGAAGTTGCGCCACAATGTGTTCTGATGGTGCGGGAGGGGTGCCGGGAATAGGCGGGGCCTTTTGACTCGCTCGACCTGGCTAATCTGGTTATGCTCTGTTTCTGTAATATCCTCTACTCTACTATCCTGCCCTGCTCTACTCGTGCTCTTTTCTAGTCTGCTCTACCCTTCTCCACTCTACTGTACCCTACACTACTTCTGTGTTTGACGACTTGGACGGTTGTTGGGACGCCATTGGAACATTCGCCTGAAGCCATTACAACAGCAGAGGCAGTCAATGCAATGTCAGAGGACGCCTTTGCAACCATTGCTGCCATTTTGGGCACAACAGGGGTGATGCCAGTGCCACCATTTGAGGTCAAAATTTTGGGAGGGGCATCGCTGCATCATTTCTCTTTGGCTAGGGAGCTAGGACTCCCATAGGCTATAGGCAGTGTCATTTGGAGAAAAAGCGAATGACGACGACGACGACGACGACGACGACGACGACGGTGGCGGCGACGACGTCGGCATCGACGGACAATACTGAACGACGACGATCGGGACAGTATGTCTCCGTGTGGAGATGGGCACGATAAGATCCCCAAGGTTTCTTCAGGTCTTCTTCATCTGTATACCACATGGGTGTGTGTGTGTGTGTGGGTGTGGGTGTGTGTCTGTCTATGTGTGTGTGTGTGTCGCACCCTCATTCAAAACGTCGGAGTTCCCCGTTTTCCGACGGCACCGAAAAAGTATTCCGCCTATTCGCGTGCCTTATCATCTGTGATTCTCGTCTCTCGCGCAGCAGCGCAGCTGTGAATCTGCATTCTGGCCCGAATTTCCAGACATGGGCAGCCGTGACACCCGTGGGTGCAACCATGGGTGTTGTTCAGGCGGCCTGGGCGTAGGGAAGAGCGCACCAGAGGTCGCAAGGAAGCGAAAGGTGAAGAGGGGAAGGGGAGGGGGAGGGAGACAGGGCGAGGGATGCAGAAATGTGCTGGTAAGGGGATCGGAGGAGCAAGGGGGCGGAGAGGGAGGGAGACGAATCAAACACTACAGAAAGTCAGGGATGCATGAATCAGTGGACGCTGTGTGCCAGTGGTACCATCAGCACTGCACCCCCCTGGAGTCGCGGCACATTCCTCTTTCCTCACACTTCTTCCTACCCTCCCCTTGCGTCGTCTTCTTGGATCCTCCTCCCTCATCCCCTTCCCTCCCTGCCTTCCTCCCGCCTGCTTCCCGAACTCCTTGAACTTTCTCTCCCCAGCCCTCCCTTTCCCCCCTGCCCCCATTCTCAGATCCTCCCAGGGTGATCAAGGCCGTGGGGGGGCGGGGTTTGCTTTGAACGATGTGCGCTCGCAGCGCACGGGGCACCCATCGGAACCTCCGACAAATTTGCTGATGTTTAGCTGCCGCTCCCGTCTGCTGCATCGGGACAGAAGCTCTGCTGCTGTCGTGCGACGTCCGTCAGGGATGACCTTGGACCCCTCCTCCTCTTCCTCTTCCTCCCCCCTGCTTTCCCTCCGCTTCTGCTCGTTGCTTCCCTCCCTTTCCTTTCCTCCTGCTTCCTGCCTGCTGCTTCCTGCCTGGCCTCATTCGGCTTGCCTTGGACCCCTTGGAAAGATGCTGTAAGACTTGTGCTGGAACTTGTGCATTGGATGGGGTGGGGAGGAGACTGTGTGTACCCTTTTGTGCTAGGTCACGGCTTCTCTTGAACAGGGACGAGCGCATGGTACCGGCACTGTCACTGACATTTTTTGAAGTCGGGTCCTGGGTCCACTTGGTACGATCGACACCTCATCTTCCCTTTGATTTGTTGTTTGGGGCGTAGGCCCCCAGCGCCCCTTGCATCCTCGTCCACGCCATTTGCCTCCATATCCGCCGCCTCTCTGCTGCGAGGTGTTGCCGTGGGGCCGCTGCCTGCTCCTGGCCGGCCCTGGCGTGACAGCGAAGCTGCTTGCTGCTCTTGTGGCCCCTCCGAGACTGCCCTTTGCATCTCCATCCTACTGTCCCTCTCCCTCTCTCTCTCTCTCCCTCTCCCTCCCTCTCTCTCTCTCTCTCCCTCTCTCCCTCTCCCTCTCTCTCCCTCTCTTCTCTAACTACGATCGGACCGAGGTATCAGATCGAGGTCGGTTCGGGAAGGACACCCTCCTGTTCTTCGTGTTTGTTGTCTGCTCTTGCGCATCCTGGCAGAGGACACCCTCGAATCTTCTTCGGCTTGGCTGGCGGAGGGCCTCGTGTTCTTGATGGATGTCCTTCTGTCCGAGGTCCGACCGCACAGGCCAGCTGCTAAACTCGACCTGAACAAAAATTCGGCCAGGCTGAACTCGGCCAGACGAAACTCGGCCAGGCTGAGTTTCGCCCAGCGAGTTTCGCCTGGCCGAGCTTCGCCCGGCCGAGTCCTTCTCTTGTCTCGGGGACCCTTCCACTACTCGCAAAGTGCCTACTCGCAAACTTCGACAAGTACGCACGTCTGCATCGAGGTGTGATGCACCGTAAATCTCACATGGCGGATCCAGGCCATTTGCGAGTACAGTCGACCCGCATAGTAAGGATAGGCATCCCTCCCAAGGGTACCCTTGCATCCTTGCCTCCTGGGTCCATCCTTCGACACTTTCGCTGGCCGCGCCCCGCTCAAAACGCTTCGAAATGGGCGTCCAAGGCCCTTGCGTCCTTATCGCGCATCCGTACTATCCGGGTTGACTGTAGCTACTTTGCGAGTGGTGGAACGCACTTGCCTGTTGGTGGATGTCATTCTGCCCGAGGTCCGACTGTACCCCTCGGGCCGAACGAAAGGGGGGGATAGGGAAAGGGGGGGTTACGGAAGGGGGCAGCCGGTTTCAGCCCCACCGATGGGGCCCATCCCTCGATACATGGCCGCCTCCGGCGCCGGGAGGCGCTGGGAAAATCAGCCACGCGAGCTGATCCTCAAACCCCCCCTTTGCTGTCCCCCCCTTCCGCCCGGCCCGCACCTCTCTCCTCGGCCAGCCGCGCGCGTGCCGAGAGCCCCGGCGCCCGCCCCGCGGGGCGGCACGCGGCGCGCGGGCAGGGCGTGCCGACCAAGGACGCCGCGCCCGTCGTGAAGCGGCGGGTGCAGCTCGCGGAGGGGGGCGGCACTCGTCGTCGTCGTCGGCGTCGGCGTCGGCGTCGTCCTCGGCGTCGTCGTCCTCGTCGTCGTCGTCGTCGTCGTCGTCGTCGTCGTCGCTGGCCGGTGTGTCGTGTCGTTCGGCCTCCGGACGCGCGTTTTCGGGCCCTGGGAGCAGCCGCAGAGACGGCCCGGCCGGAAGAGGGACGGCATCGAGCGGGGCTGCGGTCGCGCGCCACGTCGTGCAGCAGCTTCAGGTGTCGGCGCGAGAGGGTGCGCGGGTGCTGGGGAACACAGACCAGGGCAACAGAACTTGCACATACCCATCGGTCGTTGAAAGTAGGTATTTGTGGATTCCCAGATTCCAATCTACTTTCAGCGCCTTCCTACTTCAAGAGTCGAGTGGTTCTCCCTCTTCCCTCCTCTTCGGGAGGCGGGCGGAAGCCCAATCTATTCCCAACGCCGTCCTACTTCATGTTTCTACCTACTTCTTCCGACCGATGGGTATCCATTGCCCCAGGCCTGGCCCATCCTGGGCCCAAGAGGGGCGCATATGCCGCCCTGGCCATGCCAGGCGGTCGTAGACACCGCTGCTGTGTCCAGAGTGGGCCAGGCCTGGGGCGGTGGATATGTGTCCAGCTGCCCGCGGCAAGGCCCGCCACCGTGCCAGTCCAGCTTGTTGGATGGCGACTATGCAAGGAGGCAAGGGATCACCACCTACCAAACCACCCCAACCGAACCCGAAGGCCCAAACTTGCCCTCCATTTCCAGTGTGTGTGTGTGTGGGGGGAACATGGAGAAAACACGTATGAAGCCCGTACCCCCCCCCAACCCGAAAGTCGGGTCTTCGGGTTGGGTTGGGGTGGTCTGGTAGGGAGGCAAGGGAGGCCGACACATGTGACACTTCGGGCCTCTGCCTCTTGAGGGGTTTTGGGGGGCCTCTTGGGCCCTCTTGGCAGCGCCTCAGCCTCAGGGGCGTCTCGGGGGCTCTTGGGAGCTCCTTAGGCCGTCTGAGGGCGCTCTTCGGCCGTATGGGCGCTTTCAGAGGCCCTCTTTGGAGGCTCTCTGGGTCGCCTTGGGGCTCTCTTGGGGACCTCGAGGGCCGTCTGAGCGCCTTCTTGGACCGACTTGGGGTCCTCCTGGGCCGCTCTTGGGCCATCTTGGCACCCTCTGGGGCCGTATTAGGGCCCTCTTGCTGCCCTCCTGGGTCGTCTTGATGCCAATTTGGAAGCTTCTTGGGCTGTCTTGGGCCGACGAAAGCTCGAAACGGCGAGAATGCGAACATCCTTCAAACACCGACGGACACTCAATGATTTAGCGTCTTCGGGCTTTGCTGGAGGCTTTATTGGAGCCTTCTTGGGCCGTCTTAGAGGCATGATGGGCCGTCTCGAGGCCATCTTGGGCCATCTGAGGCCGTTATGGAGGCCTCTTAGACAATCCTGGTGGCGTTAGCTGCCCGCGAGGTCCGTCTTAGAGACCATCTTGGGAGTTTGGGACGCCTTGGAGAGCGTCGTGGAGGCGTCTTGACCGCCCAGGAGCCCCAGGAGTAGGGGTGGTGCACCAGCGGGGGGGGGCGATAGGGGAGGGTCCCTTGGAAGACTACAGAAAACCTGCCAGACCGCACTTGGCATTCTTCCGCGCCTCGACGTGCACAAGCCACGGTGGCAGATGAATCTCGTCGCCCTACAAGAGCGGGGCTGGCTGCGGGGAAGGGATGGCATCGCTGCGGTGGGCCGAAGCCGCGGTGTCGTGCCGCGCATCGCAAGTGGCGCGCCGACATGGGCGTGGGCACGCATGCTGACCCTGCTGCTGGGGCCGTCGGCGGAGCCCCTAGGAGGCCAAGAAATGCATGGGCGCGGGCACGCATTCGAACTTTGCCACGGGGGCCGTCGGTGGAGCCCCCCTGTGGGGCCACGGGGCGTGTGAGAGGTGTGCCGAAACGGGCGCGGGCACGCACGCGAACTTTGCCACTGAGGCCGTCGGTGGAGCTCCCTATGGGGCCACGAGACATGTAAAGAGGAGAAAGAACACACGGACACGATTAATCGTCGATTCCTAGAAAATATGGAAAAATATGGGAAGTGGGGGGGAAGACAGGAACCCAGAAACTATGGGAAAATATGGTGAATCCTGCTAGTTGTGTGTATTTATTTGTGTGTCCCAGGGCCCCTTCACATGTGAGGGGTGTGTCGACATGGGCGCAGGCACGCATGCGATTTTTGCCACTGGGGCCCTCGGCGGATCTCTATCGGGGCACGAGACGTGCGAGGCTTTCCGACATGGGGCGCGGTGACGCGTACAATTTTTGTTACTTGGGCCGTCTGCGGAGCTTCCTATGGGACCACGGGGCGCGCGAGGGGTGTGTCGAAATAGGCGCGGGCACGCGTGCGAATTTTGCCACTGGGGCCGTCGGAGGAGCTCCCTATGGGGCCACGGGGCGTGTAAGGGGTGTGCCGACATAGGTGATGGGGCCACGAGACATGTGAGGTGCGTGCCGAAATGGGCGCTGTGACGCGGAGCTTCCTATGGGGCCACGGGGCGTGTGAGGTGTGTGTGTGTGTGTGTGTGTGTTTGTGTGCCGACGTTCGCGATGGGGTCACGAGACATGTGAGGGGTGCGCCGAAATGGGCGTGGGCACGCGTGCAACCTGTTCCACTGGGGCCGTCGGCGGAGCTTCGGGCCATGGGACGTGTGAGGGGGTGTACCGAGATGGGCGCGGGCACTCTTGCGAACTTTGCCATTGTAGCCGCCTGTGGAGATCTCTACGGGCCACGAAATATGTGAAGGGTGTGCCGACATTGGCGATGGGGCCACGAACCATGTGAGGGGTGTGCCGGCAACCTTTGCCACTGGGGCCGTCGGCGCAGTTTCTTGTGGGGGCCACGGGACGTGCAAGAGGCGTGTCGAAGCAGGCGCGGGCACGCATGCGAACTTTGCCACTGGAGCCTTCGGCGGAGCTTCCTACGGGTGCACGAGGCGTGTGAGGAGAGTGTGTGGGTGTGCCGACATTGGCGATTGGGCCACCAGACGTATGAGTAGTGTGCCGAAATGGGCGCGGGGACGCATGTAACCTTTGCCACTGGAGCCATCGGCGGAGCTTCCTATGGTGCCGCGGGGCGTGCAAGGGGTGTGTCGAAATGGGCGCGAGGACGCATGTAACATTTGCTACCTGGGCCGTCGGCGGAGTTTCCTATTGGGCCACGGGGCGAGTGAGGGGGCGTGCCACGAGACATGTGAGGGGGCACGCATGCAATTTTTGCCACTGGGGCCGTCGGCGGAGCTTCCTATGGGGCCACGGGACGTGGGAGATCGCGATAGATATGTCAAAATGGGCGCGGGCAAGCGAACTTTGCCACTAGCCGTCTGTGGAGATCTCTAGTATGCCACGAGTCATGTGAGGGGTGTGCCGACATGGGCGCAGGCACGTATGCAATTTTTGCCACTGGGGCCGTCGGCGGAGCTTCCTATGGGGCTACGGGACGTGCGAGATCGCGATAGATCTGTCGAAATGGGCGCGGGCACGCGTGCGTATTTTGTCACAGGGGCCGTCGGCGGAGCTCCCTACGGGGCCACGGGGCGTGTGAGAGGGGCGTGCCGACATTGGCGATGGGGCTACCAGACGTGTGAGGGGTGTGCCGGACTGGGCGCGGCGACGCGTGTAACCCTTGCCACTTGGGCCGTCGGCGGAGCTTAGGATGGGGTTACGGGGCGCGCGAGGGGTGTGCCGACATGGGCGCGGGACGCATTTAGCATTTGCTACCTGGGCCGTCGGTGGGCGGGTGGGTGGGGGTGGGGGGGGCGGGGAGCGCGTGCCGAGATGGGCGCGGGCACGCATGCGCATTTTGCCAATCTAGCCGCCCGTGGAGAGCTCGGGTGGGCCACGACATGCGTGAGGGGTGTGCCAAAATGGGCGCGGGCACGCATCCAACATTTGCCGTTGGGGCAATCGGCGGAGCTTCCAGTGGGGCCACGGGGCGTGTGAGGGGTGTGCCGACATGGGCGCGGGACGCATTTGGCATTTGCTACCTGGGCCGTCGGCGGAACTTTCAATGGGACCACGGGACGTGTGAGGGGTGTTGACCGTGTTGTACACGCGGAGGGCAGAGGCAAGCGTGCCGCGCGGCGCTGTGGAGTCAAAGCGACGGCCCAACACCACTGGATGGTTGGAACGCACGCAAGGTGTTCTACACTTCTGCCATTGCACGGAGGTCAGATGAAGGCAGCTTTCCAACACTGTCCCGGTTGAACAACGAGGTGGGTTCTTCTTTATTCATGGCATACTTTAGGGGGTTCTATTGGACGAGGAGGAGGACGAGTAATAGCAGCAGGGTCAGGACCTATCTCAGGAGCACGCCACGACCTGCGCTAGTTCAGCGCCACGTCTGAACTGGCGTGGGTCGTGACCTCCACCCATTACCCTAGCAGTGATGTTCATTGAGGGCGAGGTGCTTTCAAAATGTGGCCCTCGCCTCAGCGCCGAGCGAATTCGTTTGACTTTCTTTCCAAATGTGTCACACTGACGGAGGGTGAAGCGTTTCCCACATGTGGTTCTCGCCACAGTACCGAGCACGTCCTTTTGAACAGCTTTCCACGGCTACGCAGAAGAAGGGCGACTCGTAGGTGGGTCTCGCCACAGCGTCGCGCACATGATCGAAAACGGCAGCAGCTATTCGGATAGATGGCAGTATCGATTTCCAAATGTGGCTTCAGCTCTAGAGATGCAGTCAATCCTTTTCCATAATGTGTGAAACACCTGCGCGTATGATGGGCTGCTTGTTTTCCAATCGGGTTCCCGCTCGGCAATTCTCGAAAAACACGACAGTAAGACGTCAGACGTGTGCAGCAATGGCACGGATTGGGGGCGATTTCTGTTCAAGGCCCAGTTATCATTAGACATGCTTTGATTTGTTTGATTGTGCGGCAAGTTTTATCACACGTGGGTGTGCAGCCACGGCCCAGTACACCTTGTGGTCAAATTTGTATTAGTTGGTATCTGCTTTTCTCATGCAATTATGCTCGTCCTTATCTTCCTCATCCCCGTCCTCCCCCCCCCGTCCTCCTTCCCGTTCTCACCGCTCCGTGCCTAGAGGGCCGCGCTCCGGCGCGTATGCGAGCGTCTATCCGTCCCGTCTTCTTCCTCCTCCTCCTCCTCCTCCTCTTCCTCCTCCTCCTCTCCTCCTCCTCCTCCTCCTCCTCCTCCTGCCTCCGTGGCTGCCAAGGTTCTGATGGGTTGTCGCGCCCCCGAGTCTGCAGTCCGACATCGGAGATGTCGTGTTTCAAAGCCTGCATTGTCGCTTGTGTTTGCGTGGAGCTGCCTGGACGCCTAGTCGTGATTTTGACTTGAGCTGATGCGAGGTCGTCTCTTTCTCTTTGCTCCCTCCCCATCTCTGACATATTGCGGTATAGAAAAGTTGTTTGTTATGAGGCGATTTCTTTTCAAACGGGGCTCTTGCTTGAACGGCAGGGCCATCGGGCGATCGTCACTCAAGGGGGTCTTGCCGTAGTGGAAACGAATGCCTGTAGGGACTTCTGAGGCAGCGACTCACAACGCGAGAGGGTCGCAGCATCGTTGAGGCACTGTGAGTTCACTCGGATCCTCCATTTCCCCCCCCCCCGCCTCCTACCTTTCCTCCTCTGCTTGCTCCTCCTGCCCCCGCGCTGGACGTGGGGGGCGGAAAGATTACGGGAGGCGACTCCGATCGGGCCGCCGCTGCCCCAGATGCTGCAGGCTCCTCGCGACCCGCCGCCGCGTTCCCTCCTCCTCCTCCTCCTCCTCCTTCGCCTCCTCCTCCTCCTCCTCCTCCTCCTCCTCCTCCTCCTCCTCCTCTGCGCACGACGGTGGCGGACGCGCACCTCCCTCGCGATCCTCCTCTCGCGCATCGCGGGAGAAGCTCCCTCTCCTCCTCCTCCTCCTCCTCCTCCTCCTCTCCTCCTCGTCCTCCTCCTCCCCTCCTCCTCCTCCTCCTCCTCCTTCTCCTCCTCCTCCTCCTCCTCCTCCTCCTCCTCCTCCTCCTCCTCTGCGCTCCTCCCTCCTCTGCTCCAGGCTCCTTCCTCTGCGCACGACTGTGGCACAGCGAGGCGGGGCGGCAGACGACAGAGCGCCGCGCTGGGCTTCGGCAGCGAGGACGTTCGTTGGTTTCTGGTCTGGGCCTGCAGGGGCCACGGGAGGCTTCGGGGGGCCCTGACCCTGAGACCCCTGGCGACTTGCAGAGACCTCCAGGAGGAGGAGGAGGAGGAGGAGGAGGAGGAGGAGGAGGAGGATGAAGAGGCGGGGAGGAGGAAGAGGAGGAAGAGGAGGAGAGGAGGAAGAGGAGGAAGAGGAGGGGGAGGGGGATGGGATGGGGATGGGGGGGAGGAGGGGGAGGAGGAGGAGGAGGAGAAGGAGAAGGAGGAGAAGGAGGAGAAGGAGGAGGAGGAAGAGGAGGAGGAGGAGGAGGAGGAGGAGGAGGAGGAGGAGCAGGAGGAGCAGACCTTGCAGGTTTCTGGAGGTCTTCGCGACGGTCCCGGGAGGCTTCCGGAGGTTCCAATAGGCATCCAGAGCGGGAAATTCGATTTGGGTCGACATGGAGGTCAGGGGTTGACGCGATTTGAATGGCCTTCCAAATGATTTAGGTGAGAGCCTCGCGGTCGGAAGGTCGATGGATTGAGATTTCTGATTTGTGGGGTTTGTCACATCGAACCCCGCCTCCCCCCTCCGTTCGTTTTCCGTCGTCTTCCAATATGCCTCCGCCTCATCCTCGTGCGAATTGCCTCTCCGATGCGCTTGCTCCCAGGTCTATGCTCTATGCTGAGATTGCACTGCTGCTGTGTAACAGTGAACGGGTCCACTCGAACCATGAGCGGCTTCTGTAGAACGAGACTGGGCTGATCCGGTAGGACCATGGAGGGGCCTATTTCATCCATGAGCAGACCGCGTAGAGACGAGCTGATCCATCAGCGGCTGGCGTGGAAGCCCCTGTTGTATCAAAGCTGACAGTGTCACCCGCTCGAGCCCTGAACGGCCACGTAGAAAGAGACCACGCTGTGGATGTAGAGTCAACGAGGAGTCCGTTTGGACCGTAAACTGTCGGGGGTGGACAGAAACCCCACCCTGACACGTCGATGAGTGAATTGTCCGTTTCCGGTTCTCGAGAGGGCGCCGCGGCCGTCATTTCCCTGGCTTGCGCCCGCTAGGTTTGGGCCAGAGGTCGTTTTCACTACAGCACGTTTTACAAAAGAGGATTCTGTCCATCCCCGAGTAGAGTCAACGAGGAGCCCGTTTGGACCGTGAACGGCTCGCGCAAAAGCATACCGAGCTGTTCTTGTAGCGTCGCCGATGGCCCCCTTTTTGACCACGATCGACCTGCACGGCCACCAACTGCGCAGCGCGACTTGAGACGCCTCGGCATCGTCGGCGTGACGACGGTCTGGCCACAGTGGCTCGTCCAGCACGTCCGCTGCGGTGATGGAGCTACAGTCGGGGCCCTGAAGAAGGAACCCTTCTCGTTGGGGAGGGGCTCCGCGTTCCTTATGTGTTTCGCAGCTTGCCTGAGGTTTTCCTTATGTTTTCGATCGGAAATCGAAGTTTAACTACTGGAAAAAAGTGGCCTCGTTCTTTGTTTAGGTTCCTTAGGTCAAGGCCCCGACTGTACTCTGGGCCGAGGCGAGCACCCTCTCTGAGGTTGGCCCTACAGTGGAGACCCATGCCAAGAGTCACCCTGCTTGCCTCCAGGGGGCCCTGGGTTTCTTGGGTTTCGATGGTTTTGCTGTGGAAGGCGTGGCGCTCCCACACCAAGAATCCACGGACGTCCTGGGGTCTCAGGATCGGGTTTCTTGTGGACAATTTCTTGTGTATTGGCCCCCACTGTATCCACCCTCGGAGCCGCCCCACCAAGCTCGAGCCGCCCCAGGGTGGCACACGGAGCGTGGTGGCCGGCCTCGTTCTTCGTTCGGAGTACCCCACGGCCAGGCAGCACGAAGGAATGCCAGCTCCGACAGTGGATGGGCTTCGTGTGAAGACAAAGCCTCAGACTGCTCAGTTTAGTCAGTCTTCCTTGTTTCGCTGTCCTTGAGACCACTAGCTATTCCATTCCACCCAAGAAGCTTCCTCGGTTCCTTTTGTCATAAGCATTCGAAAGGGTACGCCACCAGGAGAACCCCCCTCCGAGCCACCCCCAGTAGGAAGCCATCCTCCCATCCTCAGGAAGGGGCCGCTCCCAGAGGGCTCCGAACAGTACCCGAAGGAGTCCCCCACCAGGCCCAGGAGCCATGCGTGGGAGCCATCCCAGGAGCCTCTCCAGGCGCTACAGGAGTCCAGCCGCCAGGGTTCTGCCCAGACGCCCCATCCAGAAGTCCAGAAGTTGAGCTTCCCCCTCCCCCATTCTCCCCCATTCTCCCCCTCTCCTCCAGAGGTCCAGGAGTCTGGCCCACTCCTCCCCCCTTCTCCCCCTCCCCTTCCTGCTTTCCTCCCTCCGCCCCCGCACGGGGCACCCCCGCGGCTGCCACCGCTCCCGCCGCAGTCATACCACACCTCCGTCATCATCGACGACATGGAGTTCTCCTTCAGCGGCAGGGGGATCGACCAGCTCCGCGGGACGCAGAGCCACATCCCTTTCTCGGGGAAGCCCGAGGTGCGCCCACTCTCCCTACCCCCTCGTCCACAATCGCTCAATGTGGATACTACTCTGCCCTCTCCCCTGACTCTGTGGAAGATGCCTCGCCCTCTGCGTTCTCTTGAATGTGTGTTTACCCATTTCTGTTCAAAGGAATTGGGCTCGTGTGTTGGGCTGGCGACTATTCAGCCGCCGTGGCCGCCTCGTCGTCGGCCGTCGTCTGGGCCTGTGAGTCGGTCTGGCGGCTGTGTAGCCGCCATCGCCGCCCCGTCGCCTCCTCGTCGCCGCCCGTCGTCTGGGCCGGTGTGCCGCTATGGCTGCTATTTTGTTGTCGCCGCCGCCGCTCTTCGCTCGCGGTCTGGCGGCTATGTTGTTGTCGTCGTCGCCCCGTCGCCGCCGTCGCCGCTCGTCGCCGCCATTCGATTTCACCACATAGATTGCACAACATAGTTTGCGCAACCTGGATTGCAACACATACATAGCACCACAAACATTGCAACACCTAGATTGCACAGCATAGACTTCTCCACATCATCTGCACAACATATTGTTCCACATCGCATATCTTGCCCAGCATCGATTGCACACGCATTGCACAACATACATGGCATCAAACATATGACACAGCACACGTTACACAGCATCGGAGGTTGGGGGGGTGAGATCGAAGTGGAACGGAGAGCCCCCCACCGGGAAATCGATTTCGGTTTCGTGTTCATGCGTGCCGTGCGTGCGGGCGAGGCGAAGCTGCGTGGACGGGGGAGAGGATACTCCTGTGGCTGGGCTGCGGCTGGACCAAAAGGTTCTCCGCCCGGCAACCGATGGCGCGCGGTGTCCCACTGGTGTCCCGCTGGTGTCCCGCTGGTGTCCCGCCGGTGTCCCGTCGTGGCTGGGCCGCGGCCGGACCAAAAGGTTCTCCGCCCGGCAACCGGTGGCGCGCGGTGTCCCGCCGGTGTCCCGCTGGTGTCCCGCCGGTGTCCCGTCGTTGTCCCGTGGTGTCCCGTGTTGAGATCGACAGTGAGATCGATAGTGAGATCGATAGTGAGATCGATGATGAGACCGATAGTGAGATCGATAGTGAAATCTATAGTGAGAGATCGATAGTGAGATCTATAGTGAGAGATCGATCGTGAGATCGACAGTGAGATCGATAGTGAGATCGATAGTGAGATGAATAGTGATATCGATTGTGAGATCGAGTGATATCGATAGGGCCATCGTTAGCGGGATCGATAGTGGGATCGATGGTCCCATCGATCGTGAGACCGATAACGACATCGCTTGTGAGATCGATAGAGTGTTCGATAGTGAGATCAATTGTGAGATCGATCGTGAGACCGTTAACGACATCGTTTGTGAGATCGATAGAGAGATCGATAGTGAGATCGATTGAGTGGGATCGGTAGTGAGATCGATAGTAAAATCGATCGAGTGAGATCGATAGTGTGATCGATCCGTTGCCCATTGCTTCCCCCCCTCCCCCCCAACCTTATCACCCGCAGGGTGGTCGAATAGGTATATTGCACAGCCTAGATTGTAGCACAAATACTGCACCACCTATGTTACTTCATGTAGACTGGTGCGGCATACATTGCTACAAAGATACTGATTGGGGTCCACGCTAGCTAACACTCAATATACAGTAGGCTGGCGATGGACCCAGCCTTTTGCAAACGATTGGCGGCTATACACGGACTGCTGCACGCCATGCGAACGCAACCACCAGGGCCTTCGGTGGAGCTCCGAACGCAGCCACGGGGGCCTTCGGTGGAGCTCCTCATGGGGCCACGAAATGTGTGAGGGGGTCTGCCGAACTGGGGCGGGGCCGCATGCGTTCGCAGCCATTGGGGCCTTCGGTGGAGCTCCATGTGGGGCCACGAAACGACTGAGGGGGTGGAGATCCTTGTGGGGCCACGAAGCGTCTGAGGGGACTGCCAGAATGGGACGCAGCCATTGGGGCCTTCGGGGGAGCTCACTGTGGGCCACGAAATGCATGAGGGGTCTGCCGAAATGGAGCGGGGCCGCATGCGAACGCAGCCACTGAGGCCGTCGGTTGAGCTCCCTTTTGGGCCACGAGACATTCGAGGGGTCAGCCGAAATGGATCAGTGCCGCATGCGAACGCAGCCACCAGGGCCTTCGGTGGAGCCCCTCATGGGGACACGAAACGTGTAAGGGGGTCTGCCGAAGTCGGGCGGGGCCGCATGTGAATGTAGCCACTCGGGCCGTCGGTGGAGCCCCCCTAAGGGGCCACGAACCGAGTGAGGGGACTGTAAACAAAAATGGGGCGGGGCCGCATGCGAAGGCAGCCGCTGGGGCCGTCGGTGGTGCTCCCCGTGGGGCCACGACACGTTTGAGGGGGTCTGCCGAAATGGGGCGGGGCCGCATGCGTTCGCAGCCATTGGGGCCTTCGGTGGAGCTCCGTGTGGGGCCACGAACACTTGAGGAGCCTGCCGAAGTGCGAAAAGGGAAGAGGATAATGATGACGAAGTTGAGGAAAGAGGGGGAGGGGAGGAGGAGGAGGAGGAGGAGGAGGAGGAGGAGGAGGAGGAGGAGGGATGGGAGGAGGAGGAGGAGGAGAAGGAGGAGGAATGGGAGGAGGAGGAGGAGGAGGTGGCGAGGAGGAGGAGGTGGAGGAGGAGGAGGAGGAGGGTGATGCGCGGCGCGGCGGATTCAAAAAGAGGACCCGACACACAGGAGGGTTGGCAAAAAAACATAACCAAAAGCACAGTGATACGTCAGTTCATATGGTTTGGCTATTCAATCGGAGCGTCTTCGTTATCTCAAAATGGTGTTGCTGCTGCAGCGTGGGCCTCTTTTTTGAAGCGGCGCTTGGCTCCCGTCGTTCAGACTGGAGCTCTCGCCCCAGCGCTGGCCACTTTCCTGGGTCCGTGTCTCGGGCTGTAAGAGACGGGTCAATGCAAACGGGAGTCAGCCAGAGCGCGGGATCTTGCAGACTCCTGCAGAGCCAGGGGAGCATGGACCCAGGTTAGGGCGCAGGATGTTGCAGGATCTTGCAGGATCTTGCAAAACCTGACTAACTTGGGCTTGGATTGACCCGGGTCAGCAGAAGCTCGAGTGTCCTTTCTCATCGTTGTCTCCTGGCTCATGTTCCTTCTTCCGCTTCCACGTTGCCCTGGCCCTCCCGCTCCGCTCATTCCCTCTCTTGCTCATGCTGCTGCTGTTTCTCCTCGTCCTCCTTTTTCCTCCTCGTTCCCCTCCTCCGCGGACGACTTGTGTGCACCGTACCGCGTCGGCGTCTCCCGAGGCGTCGTCGATCCTAGACCCAGGAGTGGTACGGTGCATAGTTTTTTCCGGCATTAGGGCCAACAAACCATGCACCGTACCGCGTTGGAGCGTCGCCTGAACGGAGTCCAGACATAGTACGGTGCATGGGCGCTGCTCTCGTACCTCCTCCTCTTCCTGCTCATCGGCCACCTCATCCTCCAATCTACGCAGGTCCCATTCCTGATTGCACATAACGCATAACACGACGGGGCCCTCTTGGGGGGTTCCAGGTCTACAATGACACCCGTCGGCGGATAAAACATCAGCGATATCGTCTCACTCTCTCTCTCTCTCTCTCTCCTCCCTCTCCCCCTTCCCCCACCTTTAAGCTGCCATTTTGGCTAGCGCCGTTGTTGTGGCTCGATCAGCGCATTCATCCAGGGGCTCTGTCAAGAAAGCGTGCCAGCCTGGCTTCTCTGTCCGTCCGTAGCCTCCGCTCCAGACCCCAATCAGCACCGTTGAGCAACCGTGGCACGAATTGCTTTGGTGGGGTGGGCAACAGCACATGGCGCTTCTCTCGGATGCAGCGAAGCATTTCTCCAGATGGTGGTCACAATGGACCCCCACGATCAGACGGCCATCTCAGACAAATAATCATTTTTAATATGCGCTGACGGGAGTCCATAGGGCACACGTAAATAAGCAGGTCGACGTGCACCAGCAGTTGAGAAGCCGCGGAAGGCAACCATACATTCGTACGCGTCGCAGTGGGATAGGTTTACCCAGGCGAGGGCTTCCCTGGCCGATTCAAGCGAGTGGCGGGAGGGCGACGACTGGGATGTTCACAACCACGGAAGGGTTACGATGTGCCAGCATAGAAGCGTATCCCAGGCAGGCCGAATTGCCTTCCGTCCCGCCAATTTAACAACGGTCTACTACCCGACATGAGTCGTGTGATAATCCGACAGCCCAGAAGATCCTGGGACATCTGATTAATGACATCAAGCACACATGTCCAGAATTCCGAACAAGTACTTCCAGGAGCCGATACACAATGATTTGAATAAGAATCGGGATAGCCCCGTGTTTTGAGCGTTCGTCGCAACGTTGATGTTGTAGGGCATGACTCTCAGAGGGGGCCTTCCAGGGCATCGCGCAGTTCGATGTACAGACGATGCTGCGCGATAAATTTGAGCATCATGTTGGTGTACAAGCTGTGTGGCACCCACGTGTCGTCGTCGGCAATCGGAGGACTGCGGGTGCACTGGCCAGGTGCGCACTGGCTCCGCGGATCATCCTGCAGTTCTGTCCGACGTGATCTCATCGTCCACGCGGAAATCAGTGTGCTTGGACGCCAATGCTGACTGGTGCTCGTCCACCACACCGCATCACTTCGGGCTTGTGATTCTGGGCAGACTGCACCTGCACCTCCGTGGAGTTCGTCCGCCGACACTGCTGCGCTTGCCGTGCAGTCCGAGGAGTCTCTCCTGGCCACCTCCCCCTCGTGACGTGATTTGCGTTTCGGCCGAGTGAGTCGCTTTGGCGTCGGTTGCTCTCGGGAGCGTCGGCTGCGCAGTCGCCTCGCAGGCTGCTATCTGCGCGCGCCCGGCCACCCGGAGTCGGCGCTTGTGGCACTGGCCTCGCGGAAGACTCGTGCTCACCATGGCGCGTTGGCGTCTCACGAGGCATCGTCGATCCTCGACTCGGGCATGGCACGGTGGACAGTTGTTCGGGCCCTCAGAGCCGACAAACTAGGAATTGCCTCGCGCTGGAGCGGGGCAGGAAGGGAGGCCAGTACCGCTCTCGCACTGGCGCCACCGGCGGGGTTTGTGGGGGAAGGGCGCGTGCTGGCCTTCTGCCCAGGCTCGTTCTGTACGGCCTCTCACACGTGCAGTTTCGCGAGTCCAGCTTCGGCGCGCGCACCCCGCGGGCCCTGTGTTCTGATGTGTGTGCTCAGGAGAAGCTTGCTTTACTGCCTCTGCCATTTCACGAGTGTCGAGTTTAATTGGTATCGTGCGCATGGCTGAAATACCCAATGGTCGGTGACGACGTGTCATCGGCCGAGGCGGGTTGAGGAAAACATTCGTACACGTGGAGAAAGGCAGGCCGTGTCCCATCCGCATGGACATCATCCCATGTCTCTTGGGTTTGGGATCTTACAGGAGAGCCATTCATGCGATGATATGATTGCGGTGACTCGCCTTGGGACATCGCTTTGTGTCAGTATCGTGATCTCGGAGACGGCTCTCCTTGAAGGCGCGCTCGGGGTCTCAGGCATTGACCGTGGTCATCACAGGCGCAAGCCTCAGAAGTCATGGCTTGACAGTCTTCCTACAAGGACACGCTGGCTGCAAGTATCTAGTGGCCTTCGGATCATCTCGCCCCCGTGCCTGGGTAGTGGGTCAGAGGCCTATTGGGTGCACATGAGGGTCTATCGGGCGCCACTCGGGGGCCTCTTGGAGGGCTTTTTGGGGCTCATTGTGGGCCTCTTCGGGGCTTCCTGGAGGGCTCTTGGGGGCGCCTCGGGTGCCTCTGGGGGGGATCTTAGGGAGATTGTGGGGTCAAGGGCTCAAATGTCACTTCGTGTGCGCCCTTTGGGGCCCCTCTTGGGCCCGTATTGGGGTCCTCCTCACGGGCTGTCTTGATGCCACCTTGTGGCGTCTTGGGGCGGTCTCAGGCCGTCTCGGGGACCTGCTGGACCGTCTTGGGGGCCTCCTGTGACCCTCCTGGCCCGTTCTGGAGTCCCCCCCTGGCCTCCGGAGCACTCGTGCGGGAGGCCCGCCAAGGTCTGCGGCAGATCCCAGGAGCGGCCAGCACTCGGGGCTGCGGGCCCTTCGGAGAGCGCGTGCAGCTTCCAGCGCAAAAGCCTCTTGGGGGACGCGAGGACACTCCGAGTCGTGCCTCGAGGCACGGTGGCGGATCTGGTTCCGACGTGCCGACGGGCACCCCACGCCAGGGTGCAATGACCTGCCAGGCATCACCTCCCCGACTCACGCCTGGATTCCCCACCCCTCCAGCCGGATTTCTTTTCTTCCTTCCGCGGGGGGGCCCTCTCCGCGCCGACACGTTGAATCTTGGACCCCTGGCGGTGCCTGAATTTGTTCCTTTGTTCTTCGCGCGCCGTGTTATTGGAATCCCTGGTCAAGTTGTTTCAGTGCTAGCACTAGCTTAACTTTAATACAACTACTTCGGACACGTTGCAGCATTGCACTTGCAATCTGGGCTCTAGCGCTTTTCGTATTCTGGTTGCGCCGAGGGATGGAACCCCACGCGCGATCATCCTCGCGGCTGAGAGATCATCCCTCTTCCGAACACTGGGACGGGGGTAACCTCCGTGCTCGAACTGCTCGCCAGGGATTTGTTTTTTTCTTCTGTGGAAGCCTGACCCCCTGGGTTCTCAGGCGCGCCCCAGAAGTTTTTTCCTTCTGAGGGGCCCCCATGGGTCCTGCGTTTGCGTCGGCCGGGCGATGATGCTGTGCTGATCTGATGGCGAAGCGATCTTGTCATTCGCGCCGAGTTGGGTACCACTTTCTGGTGGTGGTGGCTTTTTATAGTCTGTCTTCCTTGATGCGGATCATATAAGGCTGGGTCTCAGCTCACAAGCGAAATCTGTTGTAGTCATAATCCATATGCGGAGCTCATCAGATCTACAATTATAATATGTTCCTGCCACGCCCTCCGTAGCCATTTTGGCTCAAGCCGTGAGCTTGCAAGCTTTCCGCGATGGCTCGCGGTTTTGCAATAGTGGCTTCTCTGCTGCTTCGCCGATCAGCTGCGTTTGATGACGACGAGGCGTACATCGTGTCTGCCTTTCAAGGTGAGGCAAATTTTCTCTGGGGCTCTGCCACCGCTGCCGCCCAGATTGAAGGAGCCTGGAATATCAGTGGCAAGCAAGCATCGACTTGGGATGACTTCTGTCACAGCATTCCGCATCGTGACACCACTGACCCCGACACTTTCAGCAAGACGTGCGGTAGCATTCCTCAAGGTCAGAGTGGGTCTAGGTGGGTGACGTTGGATGTCACGGATGATTTCTTTCACACGCACAACGCTGATATTGACTTGCTCTCTGGTGAATATGGCATGAACGCGATGCGTATGTCTATGTCTTGGCCTCGCCTGATGCCTTTAAACAAGTCTTCGGGGAAGCATGAAGTGAATCCAGAGGGCGTCAAGTTTTACAAAGACGTTTTCGCGATGATGAAAAAGCGTGGCGTTACACCTTTCGTCACTCTCCACCATTGGGATGTTCCAAATGACCTTTCCTGGCTGGAAGATGACATTGTGAATCATTTTTTGGATTTTGCAAAATTGTGCTTCAATGAGTTCCCTGAGATCACCAATTGGGCAACTGTCAACGAGCCCAACTCAATCTGCTCCGGAGGCTATGGGGCAGGCGTTTTCGCACCTGGCCACAAGAGCACCGCTGATCATCTAGTGTGTGGGCACCATATCCTACAGGCACATGCGCGATCAGTCGATTACTTCAGGAAATCTGGCAAGAAGGGCCACATTGGAATTGTTCTCGATTACAAGTGGGCATATCCAAATACAGACAGTGAAGCAGACAATAGGGCAGCCGCGTACGACCGAGACAATCTAGTTGGTTTCTGGGCTGAGCCTATCTTCAAAACCGGTGATTACCCACAGAGCTTGAAGGACTTTTTCGGTGCGAAGATGCCTGTCCTCACAGACGAAGAGAAATACATGCTGAAGGGTTCTGCCGACTTCTGGGGCCTCAACACGTACGGTGGCCATGTTGCCGTATGGAACGACAAGAAGATTGAAGACTACGAGCCAGGTGATGATGTCGTCGGACGTTACTCATTCAGCCCTTGCTCTGCTGGGGCAGACCAGACTCACGTCGACGATCATGAGTTCGAGTGTGGTGCAGCTTCAGGCTGGCTCTGGGCAAAGCCGGACTCCATGCGGAAGTATTTGAATTGGGTGAAAGACTACTACGGTGTCGAAAACATTTTCGTGACTGAGTTTGGAGTCGACGTTGCGAATGAAAGTGACATGTCCATGGATGAGGCACTTGTCGACACCTACCGCCAGGAGTATTACAAGCGGTATCTGAAGCAAATTGCTGTGGCAAAGAAGGAAGATGGTGTTGCCATCAGAGGAGTTTTCGCATGGTCGCTCATGGACAATTTTGAGTGGGCAGACGGCCTGAATTTTCGTTTTGGTATCACTTACGTCGATTTCAACGATTTGTCTCGCCATCCAAAGATGTCCGCGAAGTGGTGGACCAAGATGATAGCCCGTATGAAGTCTGAACCACCACCGCGACTCTTATACTATTAAGACGGTCTCTCGCCGTGGCTTTCCAGATTCAGTCCTTGACCGAAGCGTCCCCGGCCCGAGTTGGCCAGGAACAAAAAGAAAAAACAAACAAAAAACTGTTCCTGCCACGCCCTCGCAGTTGGGCCGTGATCTCGGCGGGCTTCGCGCTGCAGCATTGCCTAACGAATAATCCAATAATGGACACCGTAAACGAAGCCTGCATTTGTACCCTCAGTGATCTCCCATCCTCCTCTTACGCATTCCTCCGTGTCTCCTGATCCTCCGGCCCCTGCCCCTTCATCATGCGTCCTCCCCCTCGTCCTGGGGTGGGGACGTGGGGGGGGAGGGGCAGGCTGGGGCCCAAAGTGCCTGACAGCAGCCGCGGTGACGATGGGCCGGCGTTGTCCCAGGGTCCCGAGTGGCAGCGTCGGGACCGTGAGGGGGCGGGCCTTCTCAGATGGCTCAGGCGCCCCCTGGCCTGAGTGGAAGAGGGCCCGAGGGTTTCTGAGAAGCCCCTCCTCCTCCTGAGATGGCCTTCTCCTCTTCGCTTCCCCCCCATTGCTAGCCTCCGAAGGGAGGAGCGGAGGAGGGGAGGAGGGGAGGGAGCGAGGGAGCGACGAGGGATGGAGGAGGGAGCGCACGTACGCCTGGTCAGGCCTCCCGCCTGAGCAGAGCTGGGCTGCCTTGACGCCGGCCTCGCGATGCACGCCTCCTCGTCCTCCTCCTCCTCCTCCTCCTCCTCTTCCTCCTCTTCCTCCTCCTCCTCCTCCTCCTCCGCCTCCTCCTCCGCCTCCTCCTCCTCCTCCTCTCTGCCCAGTCCGTCCCATCTCGTGCTCCCTGCCAGTCCGTCGCATCTCATCTGGCTGTTGCCGCTCTTTGGCTGCAGCGCCTTGCCGGCAGGCTGCACAGCTTCCGTTGTTGCTCCCTCTGCCTCTGCGTTTCGCGGCGCCCTTGTCCCTGCCGTTGTTGCCCTCTCGAGCGGGCCTGACAGGTAACCGATCTGGGTTACACGAAGCTCCCAAGGACCGAAGCTTCGAGTTTTTTCTGCTGCTCGTTGTATCGTTCAAGCAGTGGCGAAGCGTCCTGGCGTGCCCATAGCCCTACCAAATAATGTTCTAAGAACTTTTGGGGTTCCCACGAATTGTTCTTTGAACATTTCTGCTTGGGACTGTCTTGTTTTAACACATCGAGTCAATGTTCTAAGAACATTGTGTTTGTTCTTAGAACATGTCGGGTTCTAAGAACATTTCGTGGTAGGACTATAGGAATGCCGGGACGGTCGGTCCCTGCTCAAATCGTTGCTTTGGGGGAGCCTGCGGATCATGAGGCGTACGGCGCGCAGGCACGGCACGGCACGACACTGCACACTCGTCGCACTCAGAGCTCGGGCACGGCACGCGGGCACGACACGGCACGGCACCGTTCCGCCGCACGGCACGGCACGCAGGCACGGCCGCACGACACGGCAAGTTCTTCGCGGTCCCCCTCCCCCTCCTCTTCCCCCTCCTCCTCCCCCTCCTCCCCCTCCTCCTCCCCCTCCCCCTCCTCTTCCTCCCTTTCCTCCTCCTCCTCCTCCTCTTCCTTCGCACGACACGGCCGCACGACACTACACGAGCTTAGGCACGGCACGGGACGGCGAGTTCTTCGCGTCCCAGAACGCCAGCACGACGCGGAACGGCAAGATTTTCGCGCTCTAGGCTTCGGGCGGGCACAGCTCGCGGGCATGGCACAGCACCGCGCACCTTTCACATTGTTACGTTTACGCACGGCATCGCATTGCGTATCTCTCGCATTCCGCACGGCACGTCCAGAAGAGCCTTTTCTTGGCCGGGGCTCTCCGTAGCCAGAATAGCCTTTTCGTTTTCCTTATCCCGCGGTTCTTCTGGCAGCACGACGTCTGTACATAGCTGTTGCGCTGGATAAGATGAAGATTACAGTAAACCCGCACAGTTTAGGATGGGCAGCCTTCCCAAGGGTCCTTGCCTCTTCGGTCCGGCCTCGGCCACTTTCGTTGGCCGCGCCCCGCTCGAACAGCTTCGAAATGGGCGTCCAAGGCCCTTGCATCCTCACCGCGCATCCTTCCTACACGGGCTGACTGCAGTGAAGGTCTTGCGCCTGGAGAAAAGGCAACCTCCGCACAGCGCCCGGGGGGGGAGGGCGCGAGCCAGGGGAGGGCGAGAAGCCAGAACGCTCGCCCCACATCTGATCCGCCGACGCGCGCCATGGCGGACCTGGAGCGGCAAGGGGGGGGGGGACCGCACAGCACAGGACGGCACGGCACGCGGGCACGGCACGGCACGGCACTTCTTGCCGCACCGGGGGGCACAGGCACGGCACTGTGGGCACGGCGCTGGGCACGACGCGGGCACGGCATTGTGGGCACGGCGCTGGGCACGGCACTGTGGGCACGGCGCGGCTCACGAAACGCATCTTTAGAATTGGGGTACCTCCTCCGCCTCCTCCTCCTCCGCCTCCTCCCCCTCCCCCCCCCTCCCCCCCCTCCTCCTCCCCCTCCCCCTCCCCCTCCCCTCCTCCTCCTCCTCCTCCTCCTCCTCCTCCTCCTCCTCCTCCTCCTCCTCCTCCTCCTCCTCCTCCTCCACGCGGGGGCAGCTCGGCGTATTCTTTATCCTCTCGGGGGCGGACAGACCTCCTACCCTGACGCGTCGATTAGCGAATTGGTCGTTTTCGGTTCGCGAGAGGGCGTCGCGGCCGTCGTTTTTGCGGGTCCAGGTCGGTCGGTTTCGGTCCCAGGCCGTTTCCACTAAGGGGAGGTTTACTAAAGGGAGGTTTGTCCACCGCCGATTCTTCGCATTCGAGAAATTTTGCGCGGCACGGCACGACACGGCACGCCAGCGACAATTTGCCGCCTAGCGGGCAGTAGAAGCGGGCTCTTGAAAGGTGGTAGTTGAGGCCCATTACACCAGTCGTTGTTTAGATTATCGTATTATTGGGTAGACATGCGCTGGTTTGCGCAAGGTTGTTCAACATGTTGTTTGCCCTTGTTTGCGTCGTTCAAGAAGTTGTTCATGTCAGAAGGGTTTCGCGCAAGGTGTTGATTTTGTGCGGTCGCGCGCGGGCCACCATTTTCGCGCACACGCGCGTGCGACCGCGTCCGTGTGTGATCTGTTCTTGGGTCTTCCTGGGCCGCCAGGCCAAGCCCGCGTTGGCCGTCTGGTCTTCTGTGGGCGTCCACGTGGGCCGTCTGTCTTGGCTGTTTCGATACCACACTGGGCCCTATTCTTGGGCGTCGGGTCCCGGTTTTCCATGATTCCAGTTGAGAATGCAGCAGGAGCGATTTGGCATGGGGAAGCGGGCGGGGACCGCAGAGCCGCGACGGGAGTCGTGATGCCGATGGTGACGCCAGTGGCGGGGAGGAGGAGGAAGAGGAAGAGGAAGAGGAAGAGGAAGAGGAAGAGGAAGAGGAGGAGGAGGAGGAGGAGGAGGAGGAGGAGGAGGAGGAGGAGGAGGAGGAGAGGGAAGAAGGAGGAGGAGGAGGAAGGCTCGACAGACTCCTCAATGACAGCATGCGTGCGAAAAGTGCATGTCAAGTTGAGAATCCAAATGCCGCGCGCTAGGGGTCCATTCGGATGTTCGAAGCCAGCATGGCGACATCTTCATCCTGATAGCCAGCCCGCCTCTGGCACCCGTGCTAGATTTGAAAACCCAAGTGAACATTTAGCGCACGCCACTTGGAAAGACAAGGCGGAGTGTCGAAGAGGAGGGCTTACGGCCTACGGTCTACGGTCAGGAGGCGGGTTACGACGAGGAGGGGGCGAGTGAGGGAGGACGGGCGACGCTGATCGATGGAGATCGGGACGAACATAAGAAAGAGGAATGGGGGCGAGGAGATGGGGAGCGAGGAGAGGCCATGGGACGGAAAACGTAGAAGGTAGACTCAGGTAAGAGGAGTATAAGTTGATAAAGGAATGAGGGGAATGGGGAGGACGAGTGGGGGGAGCCACGAGGAGTAGGGAGTAAGGGGTCTTGGGAGTAATTGTTCAGGTGCGCGAAGCCTAGCCCTGGGGCATCTCCCCTGTGGGCGCCCAAACACTGACAAGTCCTCCTCTCCCAAAGGTTTCCAAGGGCTGCCACCGGGACCCTGAGGCCCCGAGTGCCACCTCGATGCCCCAAGAGCTCATTTACACGACTCCAAAAGAGCCCAAGAGGCTCCGGGATAACCTCAGGACGGCCCCGAAAGACCCCAAGACGGCCCCAAGAGGACCCCCAGGGGGCAAGGGTGGAGGGTAGGGGTGGGGCAAATCGGTTAACAGCATGAGCACGCATATTATGTTTCCGATATTTTCAAGATCCAGTACTTCTCATATACCTGTGGCCCATGGAAGACCTCGGAGGAGCCACGGGAATCCCAAGAGAACGGGAAACCGAGAAGCCGAGGGCCGACGTTGGGGAGACGCGGATGGGGGTGGGAAGGGCAGAAGCGAGAGGACACGAGGTGCAGCAGGAGGAGCTCCACAGGCGAGCGGGCGGGCGCGCAGGCGGGCGAGCGGGCGGGCAGAATGTGATGAGTTTTGTCCCTTGCGCTACCACGTGTTATTATTTCTTTTGCCGCAGCCGCAGGCGAAGGCGCCGGCGGCGTCACAGGTCGGCTCGGGCTACGTACGAGCAGAACTGGTTGCCTAGCGCGCGCAGGCAACAGCAGAACCTACCTCGGGGGGAAGCTGGGCTGCGCCGAGGGCAGAGGCTGCTACCGCTGGGGGAAGCGGGGCTGCGCCGAGGGCGGCCGCGTGTTACTACGCGAAGAGTGGTCTGTAATCGTAGCTGCTTCTGCCCCCCATGCATTGCTGCGTGGCGAGTATTCCTTCTACGTTTGCGCACGCTCGCCCGCCCAACGCGTTGCCGCTGGGCGACTCGAGTAGAGTTGTCTTTCTTCCGTCCGACAGACGTTGCCGCGACGACGACGCGGTTTTCTTCTCTCGCCAGGCTGCCCAGAAATTGGGTGAGGCGGAGAGGCCGCTCCTGAAACTTACAATTAAGCACGCGGACTTCCCCGACAGGTCGCCCTGAACTACCATGGCAAGCTCGAGGACAACCCCACCTCCACGAATATCGAGCATCTAGGCATCCTAATGGACTCCGCGCGGGAAATTGCGACCCGTCTTGGCAGGACTGCCTAAGCGCCTGCGGGGGCGACTTCTTTCGAAGGCTACCTTGGAATCACAGTGAAATTTTGTGGGCTTCAGAAATATGGCTTCTCGGGAGAGGTTTCTACATGCATTCGCCAGTACTCGTATCTGAGGGGTCATGGAGAGCCTCAGGCTCTGGTTCCTCGCGCGTGACCGTGCCTTCGACGAGTTCGGGAAGGCGCACGAAAACCTCTTCCGAGGGAGACCGCATTTTGACTAACCCTCGCTGGCAGAAGTACACGCGGCTCCTTTACACGTTGTCGTCAGGCCAGCGAAGTTCCGTGAGCATGCACAAACGTGGGGGGATCCCGACAGACGGCAGTCGTATGGCTGCGGTGCATGGGAGGCACTGGGGTACGTGTTCCAGCCCAGGCCCAGCGCATCGACGCAGCGTTACCGAACCAGTGGATCGAGGAGGATATTGCCCCTTGGCACCAGTGCTTACGAACCAGCGCTTACGACCTCGACCCCTTCCTGGCTTGGGAAGTCGGGCTCCGGCGCCGCAGCGTCGGCTGAACCATCCGTCAGCCCAACAAGTGTTCGCCGGGGCCCGACGGGGTTCCATTCTCGTCGTGGCGCCGCCTGGACGAATTGGCAGCCGATGTCGTTTGTGCACGACGTGTTCACGGAAGTGGCATCAGAGGACGGACCTGTCTGAATGAGGTGTCCGTTGCAGTTCCTTCCCAGGGATGTGTCTGGGTACCTGGAGGGCGGCGCGTGCTGCTACAAGTTGGATTCGGTCAGGCCGACGAGCGTCATCACTGTGGACATCGGCGAGGCCATGGCCACCGCGCTGCCACGGGATCTTGTTTCTGTTTTCTTTAAGTTTATTTGCCGCCTTCCTCTCGGTAGGGCAGGTCATGCACAAGCTTGTCAGGTCGCCTGGGTGGCCAGATTGGGAAGAGCGCATTCTGTGAACGCTGGGAGGTGACGTGGGGTTCGAATGGGGGGGGGGCATGAGATGCAAGGGGGGTGGTGAGGAGTTTCGAACAGGGGAGGGGTCCCCCCTTGAGGGGAGGGGTTCGAACCGGGGGCGGGCCCCCCCCTTGAGTTGAAGGGGGGGGAGTTCGAACCGGGGCGCAGGGAAGCTTCCCCCTCTGTCCATGGACACGACGGCGACGGCGACGGCGACGGCGTCGGCGTCGGCGACGGCGACGGCGACGGCGACGGCGATGGCGACGGCGACGCCGACATCGACAGCATTGGCGCCGACGGCGACGGCGACGGCGAAATCGACGGCACCGGCGCCGACGCCGGCGCCGGCGCCGACGCCCACGCCCACGCCGAAACCGGCGCTGGCGCCGACGTCGGCGCTGGCGCCGTGGGGCAGCGACGACGACGACGACAACCCACGACAACCACCACGACGACGACGACGACGACGACGACGACGGCGACGGCGACGGCGACGACGACGACGACGGCGACGACCACGACGGCGGCGACGACGACGACGACGACACGACGACGACGGCGACGACGACGACGTTTACAACAACGACGACGACGACGGCATCGACGGCGACGGCGACGCCGGCGCTGGCGCCGACGCTGGCGCCGGAGCGGGCAGCGACGACAACGACGACGACGATGACGACAACGACGACGACGACGACGACGACGACGACGACGACGACGAAGACGTCGACAACAATGACGACGGCGGCGACGGTGACGGCGACGGCGACGGCGACGGAAGCGACGGAAGCGACGGCGACGGCGACGGCGATGGCGACGGCGACGGCCGCGACGGCGACGGCGATGGCGACGACGCGCACAGGGCACCCCTCTTGAGTTGCAGGGGCGGGGGTTCAAACCAGGAGCGCCCCTTCGCCTGACTTGCAGGAGCGCCGGCGCCGGCGCCGTCGGGCAGCGATGACGACGACGACGACGACGACGACGACGACGACGACGACGACGACGACGACGACGACGAGACGGCGACGGCGACGGCGACGGCGACGGCGACGACGACGACGGCGATGGTGACGGCGACGGCGACGGCGACGGTGACGGCGACGGCGAATGCGACGGCGAAAGCGACGGGGACGGCGACGACGGCGGCGGCGGTGACGCTGACGACGCCGACGCCGACGACGACGGCGATGGCGACGGCGACGGCGACGGCGACGGCAGCGGCGACGGCGACGGCGACGGCGACGGCGACGGCGACGGCGACGGCGACGGCGACCGGTGACGACGACGACGACGCGCGCAGGGGGGGGGGGGAAAGGGGGCCCCACCGTGCAACTGAGGGGGGGGCCCACCCCCCAGATTAACTTCCCCCCAGTCTTCTTGCAACTCTGTAGGGGGGGCCCCTGGGGTTCGAAGTCCCCCCTCCCCCTGGGACAAGGGGGGGCTCGCGCCGTTCCGGTTCGAACCCTCCCGCCCCGTGCAGCTCCAGGGGGGCTGGTGTCCAGGAGGGGGCGCCTACCCCCCATTGCTTAGGTCTAAGCCTCCTAGATGGTGTCGGAGTAGATGTGGTCGGAGGATCATGTTGCATCGCCGATGCATCGCCGATATGGCTCGAGGCGGAGCACGATTTGCTTCACGCCGACGTCGCCGATTCATCGCCCACGTCGCCGATGCGTCGCTGGTGTATTGCCGATGCATCGGCGATACATCGGCGATGCATCGCCGATGTATCAGCGACGTGGCGCGATCCTCCGACCCCATCTACTCCGACCCCATTTAGGAGGCCTCTATTAGGGGCGCTCAATGTTTTTTGTTGGGGGGCCCTCCCCAGCTCCAACCATCCAAGGTGTTTTTTCCAGGCAAGCGTCCACGAAACGCGTGCTGTCCCAGATGGGCTCTGGTTTGTCCGTCTCGTGCACCAGAGCAATTGGTGCCGCGTCGTGCTGGGTGGATCGCGGTACGCCGGCTTCTCGTTGTCGCGAGGGTGTACGACAAGGGTGTTTTTGTCTCCGCTCCTAAGTGTTGTGGCATCCTTCATTTTTTCCGACGGCTGGGAAGGCTGTTCCTGCGGGCATGCACGAAGGCAGGCGTACGCGGACGATCTGGCCATGGTGCTCCCAGGCTTCGCAGCGTCCGTCGAAACCCCGCATGATTACGTCCGGAGTATGGTAGGATGTCCGGTCTCAGTCTGAGCATGCACATGGCGGTAACGGTCCCGCCGTTCGCGGCCCAACTCTCGCAGTTGCGGGCCCACCTTGCTGAAGCACCAGCCTGGGGGTGCCAGGCGATTGATAGCGAGGTGAAGTACCTCACACTGGTTGTTGGCCCTGGCTGTGGGACGTCGTTTGGGGAAGCTTGTTTCCTTAAGTATCCCGAGCGCGCCCAGCTGTGGGGGCGCATGGGCATCGGGCTCCTCCTTGCGATGCACGCGTATGGCATATTCTTTGCTTTGGTCTTGTAATGTGTGGGGAGTCGTTGGAGAGGTTTTCCCTCTCTGCTCGGCGCGGACGGCTCCGAGGCGCAATTTCCGGCTGGTTGGGAAGGGCGCGCAGCAGCAGTTTTGCGCATTCGGCAGCCCGATGCGTTTTACCACCTCCGGAGGAAGCTGGGCAAGTGGCGGCCGCCCATCCTGCCAGGGCACAGGGCTGGCCGATTCCGAGATGCATGCAGGTTCTGTCTGGCATGATCCCACCCCGCGTCCTGGCGGCCATGTGTCTTTCATGGGTGGACGACCG